GAGTAATGACATTTGCCTAAGTCATTTTAGAAACATTTTAAAAAGTAGGCAAAGCCAAACCTCTTTGGATAGATATTTTACCAAGTGACCTCTATCCAGTGAAAGTGCTGGTGGAAGTGAAGGAAAGAAAGCAAAAAGCAGTGAATAAAAATTTAAAATATATATATTTTATATATATATATATATATATAAAACAACACTAATTTTTTTTTATCTTTTCTAAGTTATTGTTACATTATGTTATGTAAGTTAAGTTTTAGTATTATTTCCCTTCTCCCTCTCTTCCGTCACCAGTTTACACCTCCACCGTCGTCTATCCTCAAAGGTAAAGTGCAAATAAAACTACATTTTTTTTAAATCAATTATTATTCTATTATGTTTATTTATACATTTACAACTACAAAATGCATTTTTCAATATTTTCCTTACTATAATTTTTTTTAATGTACTACTTAGCTTTAATTTGAGTGTTTTTTTCGTGTTTGAATGAATTATTTGGTTTTACATGTAATCGTATGGGGAAAAATGATTCACCTTACGACATTTTCATGATATAATCTCAGTTTTGGAATGGATTAATTTCGTATCCTAAGGTACCACTGTATATTTTTTCGTACATAACAGGCAGCCCTCGACTTTCGCACAATTTGCTATTTCACACATTTTTAAAAATTTAACTTTTTAAATATTTTTGTTTATTATGAAAAAATTTCCTTTCATGCAGAACACTCATACACTACAAAGCGTGATAGCTTGCTCTATGTTCTCGGACACACATTACTTCCTACAATAGCGGACTTCTCGGAATCCTAATCATTACTGTGTTGTTCCAAGCAAGAGTTCAAAACAGTTTCAGTCTTGAATTAGGGTGTGCGTCAACGTGTTGTGTGTTTTGCCAATTTATTTGTTTATGTTTAAATATTTTGTCCTTATAAATTGAGAATCATAAGTGAGAAATCTGAGAAACTGCAGTGTTGATATGAACAAAAAGAAATTAAAGACTCATAAACTTCATACAATCGAGACAAAGATGGAAATAATTAAACGTTCTGAAAACGGTGAATCTTTTGCTTCAATTGGACATTCATACGATGTAAACAGATCTACGATATGTGCAATTTTGAAAAATAATAATAAAATTAAGGAATAAATATTTTAAACACAGTTTTTGGTGCATATTTTTTTTACATCCCTCTACTTTTGAACATTCAACATTCACACACACTTTCAGGAGTCAATTATGTGCAAAAGTTGAGGGCTGCTGTAATCGGTTATCTAGAAAACAGATTTTCCGATTTCCCCCAATTGATTCGGATAATCGATGCTCTACTGTAGTTAATTTTCAATTAAATTTTCTTCCAGTTTATTAACATAAAATTCAGAAATTTATTTTAAGGAATTAATTTAATAAATTATGTTTTTGTGACAGCTCACATTATTTATTAATGAACTTATTATAAAAAATAACTGCTTTTTTTTCCTTATGGAATTCATAAAGTTTTATTGTTGCAGATTAATATCAGGATAAATTATTTTTATATTAATAAGACATCTTATTTTAGATCTTAATAATTTAGTGATTCTAAAAAGATATATTTTTTTCTAATTAATAACTGAAACTAATTAAATATTTTAGTTTTCAAAATATATCAGATAATCATTAATAAATAATATGATATGGTCAATAATAAAGATGCTGTAAATAAATAAACCTTGATTTGCAAAGTTTAACAGTTGTTAATTATAATATAAAAGATACTTATATTGTTTTTTATCCAGTGAGGTTTTACACATACTGGTTTTTGTTCATATGAGATTTTATGAATTGGTTTTGACTTGTTGACCTATTGTCTTCTGTCCTTCTAGTTTGTCTGGCCACATATTCAAAAGAATGGGCAGACTTGCTAGTTTAGATTAGCCCTACTTTAGATTCTCGAGCAGCAAATAACAAACTATTATTTCTTATTGATTAGTATTCAAAAGAGGCTATTGCAACATGTAGCATGTAACCACGGGGAAAGTAGTCTATTGAATTTGGTGTTTGAAGTTAGCATAAATGGTACTTTGGCATTGGTCAATACTGATGTTTTCCTCTTGCTGTGGTTTTGAAAGTTTTGTGCTCGACTCAACTTCTATCTCGGTCTTCTATCCTCGGGGGACAGGAATAGCTAGTCGAATAGCACAGGAATATCATTATTTGAAGTCTAAAACCTATGCCTAGTCTCAGGGAGATGTGGATGTCCATATTGATAATCTTCAAAGTTTCTTCTCAAGAGTATACTGTATTAGAGTTTTCATGTAAATTGCATATTATTTAAGCAATTTTATAATACTTAAATTCAAATATACAGTGTGGTATATTTTCCAAATTGTTTGGAGTAGCGATTGGAATAGAGGCGGCATTTCATAAGGAAAACCATTAACAGGCTTTATAGTAATCGTGTTTAAAATTATTCCTTTGTTTTGGCTGGGGTTTAACAATGCATAGATTTAGGGACAAAAGATGGAACAAAAAATTTCAACTTTTTTCCTTACACTAAAGAAGGCGGACAGAGTTTAGGAAGTTTTTTCTGACTGAATATCAGATTTTCTTCATAATAACTGTTAAAATTAATGAAAAATTTTGTCATTTCATATGTATGTACCATTTTTCTCTGTTGGCAGAGGAATGGCTAAAAATCAAACTAACTTTGTTAATATTATGCTAATTTCGTCGGCGTAGATCAGGAAAGGTTTACCGGGAACAGGAACTTTGCAAAGTTTATATCCACGGATTACCGATCGGTACATACTGACGTAAGTTTTGCAAAGAGATGAATATTTTATTCTGACTCTAGAGACAATTGCACCAGCGATCAAGACGAATGAAATTCTTTTCCGGTGAACTCTTTCCTTACTTCATCGATATTTGTAATTATTGGTCCAAGAACTAATGAGGGATTTTGTGATCTCCACAGGTTCTTGATCGATGACTGCCTTTACGAGTTGGCGAACGAATCAAAGAAGAAATGAAGATGAGCAGGCGTCGGAGGTCTAATTGTGATAAAGTGGATGCAATCTTCTAATAATTATTTACATTATTATTACTATTTGGAATCTTGTTAGCGGAATTTACGGACGCGTGTTTATCGTTGTTGTTTCGTCCCAAATTTCCAAACGATTTTCAACTTTATAAGATTTTTGTCATCTTGTTATTTACATTGTTAAATATTCAGATTTCCAATTAAAGAATATTCTAAAACATCTCTCATTTTATTCTGAAAAAGGTCCAAAACATCCCACGTTACGGTAGGTTTTCCCGCGCCCAGTTTGTCTTCTCAGAGGAGGAAAAATGGTTCCCAATGTCTTTCTCAGACCGAAAATAGGTGCTCCTCTAACTTCCGCCTCTGTAATTAAATTTCGGGCATAGAGACGAAGGGCCAACTCTTCCTTTTTACTTTTCTCCTTTCTTCCATAGTAACAGTTTTTCGGTTCCTGGAGCACAAGAGGCAAAAATTTATCGGAGGAGGAAAGTGATTGCCTGACAAAAAAATGACACTTACCGTTGCCGAAGAGAGGAATTGAGGACATTGTTCTATTTTCTTCCACCCTATCTCTTCCCCTTCTCTCAGACGTGACTTGCGATAAGTGTGTTTGTTATATCGATCTGGAAGATAACGTAGACACTCAGCCATTTTTCGCTTTTCGGTTTCTTTGATCTGAAAAGATGTCATCCCATTAGTTGCCACCTTTTCCTAATTATCTGAAAGAGTGCATGATGATCAAACAGGAAGAGGTCCAACATGTCCAGAAAAACACACCGAAATTCCGCGGAAATGTTCAAAATCTTTCTATTTGGAATCAAGGGTAAGGATGTATAGGACAAACGGAGAGAAGTGCACTTTTTAGCATCCGGCCTGGACACGGATTCAAGAGTCTCATAAGACACGACATAGTATCTCTCCAATATCATAAGTTATGAGAAACGATATTTTATACTTCGTATTCACAAAACACGTAGCACTTACGAGAAAACAAGAAATTGGTAACGAGTGTATTTCTTATGACATCACTAGCGACCGCTTCCGCTTTAATACAAGCAATAGGAAAACGTTTCTTTAAGAATTTTCTCGCTGTACGTTGTACTTAAAAGTAGCATTTTATTTCTTTAGAATTAAAATGGATAGGAATTAGTTACTTTTAGATTAATTATTCATATGTATAATAGATGATACCTAAAAATGTAACCGATCTAGTTATAAAACGAAATTACCCAAAATTGATACTAAAGTTATGTTAATAGAAATATTGAAGTTGAAAAATTAACAAATTTAACCAAAAAATTATAAAATTAAATTATAATGATTATTTTTCGGACGGCAGTCTGTAAACAGTTTTAATTCCACCATGAAGTAGTCTATCAATTTTTTTCATCATTTGATAATATCTTAGAAGTTTCGAATCAGAAAAATAACCGACTAGATTATCTATCCATAGAACCAAATACTCGACCACCAGTACATAGACTTACGAGAGCTCTTAGATATCGTAGTAGTAACGAGACTTTACAATATCGTAGCTTACGATATGCTTTGTGAATACGAGACTTTTTTCATCTGGCAACTTATGAGTCATATCGTCGTAACTTAAGATACGAGGTGTTTGTGAACCCTGGCCCTGGCCATTAAGGAAAATTCCCAGATATGGAATATTCACTGTTCCACTAACCCCCGTATTCACCAACACGAGTTAGAGTTGAGTTAGGGTTAACTCTCGAGTTACTGGTAAATTGGTATTCACCAACTCCGAATCTCGAGTCAAACACAATAACCCTAACTCTAACTCTAACTCTAGAAAATCGGCGAGTAGACGATAACTCTGGGTTTGACGCCTGCGCAAAGCAGTCTATTTCAGAGAAAAATGGCGACATTCGACGAAGACAGCCGAGATGCTAGAAAATCTGAAATATTTAGATTATATAGATCGTATGGAACGAAGAAGTCGGCGGATTATTTCTCCAAGAAGAAATGACCTCGAACAATTGGACGATTACGACTTTCTATGTCGATATCGTTTGCCAAAAGAGAGCGTAAGAAACCTATTAGAACGAATTGGTTTCCTCCTCCTGTTTTAAATAATTCGGCTTTTTTTGTGCCTGTTCTTTCACGGCTTTCTTTTTTAAATTCTTATAACAGTCCAATAACTGTTTGGTTTTTCTAAGGGTGACACCCGGGATACCATTGAATTCCTTTGTTAGT